GAACTAAAGAGCCTCTTGATGAAAGTGAAAGAGGAGAGTGAAAAAGTTGGCTTAAAGCTCAACATTCAGAAAACTAAGATCATGGCATCCAGCCCCATCACTTCATGGCAAATAGATATGGAGACAATGAAAACAGTGAGAGACTTTATATTTTTTGGCTCCAAAATCACTGCAGACGGTGACTGCAGCCATGAAGTTTAAAGATGCTTGCTCCTTGGAAGAAAAGCTATGACTAACCTACACAGCATATTAAAAAGCAGAAACATTACTCTGCCAACCAAGGTTCATCTAGTGAAAATTATGGTTTTTCCAGTAGTCATGCATAGATGTCAGAGTTGGACTATAATGAAAGCTGAGTGCCAAAGAATTAATGCTTTTGAACTGTGGTGTTGGAGAAGACTCTTGAGAGTCCCTTAGACTGCAAGGAGATCAAACCAGTCCATCCTAAAGGAAATCAGTCCTGAATATTCCTTGGCAGGATTGATGTTGAAGCTGAAACTCCAGTACTCTGGCTACCTGATGTAAAGAACTGACTCATTTGAAAAGACCCTGATGCTGGGAAAGATTGAGGGCAGGAGAAGGGGACAACAGAGGATGAGATGGTTGGATGGCATCACCGACAGAGGATGGGATGGTTGGACGGCATCACCGACAGAGGATGAGAGGGTTGGGTGGCATCACCGACCTGATGGACATGAGTTTGAATGAGCTCCGGGAGTTGGTGAGGGACAGGTAAGCCTGGCGTGCTGCAGTCCATGGGGTCGCAAAGAGTCAGACACGACTGAGCAACTGAACTGACCAGAACTGAAATGTAGGTCATAATATTTACTTTGACTTGAACTATTATTGGGGACTAAATCTTCATATACATAAAATAATTAAGAGACAAAAATTATATAAGATAATGCACAAAATTGCCTGCCATGTGTAATGAATTTAAAAGGCATTCAACAAACAATGTAGGCCAGAGAAGATAGCGGTAGCCTATTTTGAACGTGCACTCTAAATCTATTCTGTTTTATGGTGATGTACTTTATACTCATATGTTAGGCAAGGATTTCAGTTTAGAAATAAGATGTCACATTTTTGATGCTCTTTCATTTTGAAAAAAAAAATTTATTTACACTCTCCCACTCAATGGTCCCCATAATACTAATAACAGTCAACTTTCACTGAGTCCTCACTATATACCAGGCACTGTGCTAAGTACTTTTACATGGATTATCTCAGAAAATACTCATAATACATCTATGAGGTATGAATAATAATAACACCCATTTTACAGATGAAGAAACTGAGGTATAGAAAAGTTGAGTAACTTGCTAAGCTCCCAATGGTGGAGCCAGAATTAAAGTTCTGAGAGTCTGACTCTGAGTCCCTGCCCTCAGCCACCACACTATACTTGCCTCTTCTTCTGTCTGTTCCTAAGTCCTTTGTACAGATAAATAAACAGTACGGAAAATAGAATGTTTTTTCTATCATTCCATGCTGACATTGCTATTGAAATCTGACATGCGAGGTACTTTCGTTCTCTTCTCTAATTGTACCCTCTTATCTAGTTCAGGAGTTCAAAGGTAAAGGCGATAGGTATGCTGTTGGTTCTTAGAGATCATAGTTCTCCTGGTACTGAATTATAGACCCTTAAGACTCGGCTCACATTTTCTTTTTCAAAGTCTTTTCCAAAGTTTCCTCCAAGCAAGACTATGTCTCCCAAAGACCCTCAGAGGCACACTTTCTGACCTCTTTAAACACTCATTCTTATGGCTTTTTGAATGCTGCTATTTCCCAGCGAAACGCAGAGCAAATCTATTCCGGATTGATGTGTCCATTTCTATATTTCCCTGAAAATACTATGGTGAATGCTATCTTGCTCAGCAAAATCTGTGAAATGTTTTATTTCCATCTACCCAGGGGATGAGAGACATGCTGTTTAAGCACCAGAAATCTTGAAGAAAAAAAACAACAACAACTAGAACTTTCTTATGGAAAAAGGTAAAACTATATAACAATTCTACTACATCTCAAAACAGAAGTTTGAGAATCATAAACATTATAGCAAGTTTGGGGTATATTTTCTCTTCTTAATTGGGATTTAATTATGTTTAAGACCCATTATTTATTTCCTTTTGGAAATACAAGTCTGATTTTAATGTAAAATGTAGGGAGATACTTGCATGTTAGATAAAGAAGATGGTGAACAAATTTCAACAATAGTGGATGACAGGCTCAGAAGCAAGAGTTAGAATTACTAAAATTACCAGCCCTTCACCCCCCTGCAAAATCACAAATGACATCAGCTTTTCCACAGTGAAGAAAAAAAAAGTTAGTTCTTGGTCTCCATCCCGTTTATATATAAATTCATCTTCTCAGAATGTCTTGGTAGATAAAAACATTTAATATTTCATGAGTGGAAACTATTTGAACTATGATTTGTTCACATGGCAAATAAAAGGCAGGGAAAATGAGGTTGCTAAAGACAATGACATTTTTATAGGGTCTGTTTACATTTCTGATTCTGATACTAGAATTTACCAAGCAAAATCTTAGGCTGGAAAAGCACTAGGCAGTGTGTACTGTGATGCCTGCTGGGCTTCAAATCCAGTGGCACCTTCAGATGAATTTAGAAGAAACTTAACAGCTTTAGAAATCTCCCTTCTCCGTCAGTGAGCAGGAAAGGCCCGCGCATCCTCCCGACAGGAACGGACCAGTCCCATGAACCGTACCCCCTTATCATTTCCATTCAAACGAGGCAGAATTTCTGTTCATAACCTGCCTCGGCGGCCTCATTTCTCCAACTCCAAAGTATAAAATTAAAATCTGATAAAGGGAATGCTGTACTGGAGATTTTCATTAGCTCCAGAGCTGTCTAAGCTCCATTTAATTAAAAAAGGTTGCATCCAGCTGACTCATTCAGTATGAAAATTATTTTGTGTCTCTTTTTTTTCAAACTGTGGAAAAGTGCAGTGTGTTTTAGAAGGTTGGAGACACAGGAAACAAACAACCTCCTCAGAAGCAAAATTTTGGTTCCGGAGAAAATTCTTCTTTCTCTCTACACATAAAGAAATGTGTTCCTCACCTCTAGGGAGCCTGATAGTACTAGTGGGGCTTTAGAAGTTGGTTTCAAGGAATAAAAAAGGAGAGTGCTTGATTTAAGGAAGAGGAGCAAGGGAGAGGTTAGAACAAAGACCCCCCTGGAGAGTCGTTCTTCATTTGATTTTGGGCTCAAAGTCCTTTCTCTTGCACTGGGTTTTATTTAAGGATGCCTAGGTGGGACAGTGTATAAACACTCAGCAAAAGATCGGTAAGCTTCAAGACAGTGAAAATTCAGATTCCCTCAGGTGAAACTTGTTACTGCACAATCCTAGTCAAATATTCTGACACTCCTAGGAGAAATATTTGGTCGGAAGTTTGTTCTCCATCCTAAGGGAAAAAACTACTCTGAAAAACAGACAAAATCTCTCATGAAACTGTTTTCCCCCTGAAATATTTGAAGGATCTGGCATAAATGCCCATTTCATAACTATTTTAAAACAGTGGGAGTTTTAGTATTTGCCTTCACTGCCCTCTAAGCAGAATAGAAATTCAATGCAAATCACAGGAAGTCAAATTATTTCCTTTCTTTCCACACTCAATTTGTACCAAAGGCTTAAAAAAACAAACAAACAGTACAAACATGAAAATTCTATTTCAAATAGTGTTTCCTCAATTTGGGGGTTTCAGGTAAAACACCTGTGGCTTGGTCAAAGGGGTTGGGAAGACGAAGAGGTGTAAACAAAGACCGCCTGTTGTTTGAAAAGAAATGATAGAGGCAGAATTAAACTTGGCCTCTCTGCTTTCTAACTGCTGGCGAAGCAGTCATTGCAAGGGGAAGACAACAGAGGTTTATCTGGAAGGATCCTCTCACCGTGGTCAGGTCCCTTCAGGGCCAGGCGGGTCTGATGATGCGGAAGAATCTCAAGCTTGACCTGGTCGGTGGTGTTGGCCAGGAATTGGGTTGCTTCTGCGAGCGTGCAGTACTCCATGCTGGTGCCGTCTATGGACAGGATGTGATCACCCACGTGCAGAGCACCACACCTATGAAAGGGAGAAGGTGATGGCGCGCCTTCCTCTTTGCATTATGACTTTCACGTCCTCACACTTAAAACTTCACATAGTTTTCATTTACTTAAGGGAAGAAGGAAACACTTCAACGTCATAGGAAACACTACCTGTCAAATATTAACTAGCTTGGGTATGAAGAGGAAGGTAAAACCTTGTAGAAAATACAGAAAAACTCAAGGAAGAGGTTTTCCTTGTCCTTTATAAAAATATATTATTTTGGGGGTGGCAGTGCTGAAAGTTGAGGGGAAGTGAGCAAGCGAGGAGGGAAGAATAGGAAAATGTTTTGACTTTTTTTCTGTGATTTTTTTCCCCCTGAGTTTTTATATCTATAAATATGAGTTGGTAAATATTCAGAATGTAAAGATGGGACTCGCAGAATGGGAATTGGGTCACTTACAACTATTTTCTTGGGAGAATAACTTGGGAGAAGGATTCAGCTAGTGCTTGCTAGGAATCATCTCACACATGCTTCCAGATTACCAGTTCTTGATTATTTTGTTATTCTGGAGATAAACATTTATGAGCACAAAAGCTCTCAATGATGATGGAAATGAGGCAGGCGTCAAAGAGTAATCAAAGGAAGCCTCTGTGAGGGGGAAGCTGGGGAGGAGGAGGGGTGGGCTGCTATATCTTGCTGAACTCAAGAGACTGGGTGAGTTGAGAACAGCACACACAGCCATCAGCATCTCGAGGTGCCAGTCAAGTGGACAGCTGCTTAAACTGCTTACCCTCTGCCACAGGAGAGAAACAGAGGGAGAACATGAGAGCTTCCTGCACCACTCAACGGGAGGGCATCCCTGAATCCATCACATCACTGTTAAAGGCCTGAATGCAGCTAAGAGCGCAGTGGAGCTATAGACTGACCAGTACAGGGGTGGCTGCAGGCCATCAGAGTCAGAAGGTCACCAGGAAGGGAGAAGACGGTTGGAGAGACGCAAGGAGACGGGGCATTGGGGCAGATCTAAACACTTGCACGATGACCACAGTCTACTGCTCAAGACAAAAGCATTTCAAGTCATCCCTCCCATCTAAAATTAAAATTCCACTTGGGTGCACCTGGAGTGCTTCAGCTATGGGAGGTGGGGTTTTTCTTACCAGGAGCAGTTAAATAATTTATTAGGTGGTAAGGTAGTCTTCCCCCCCTGCCCCATTCGCAAATCTATCAGAAGAAGAATTCGGAATAAAAGACTGGCATTTTTATAAAGAACGATGTTTTGGGGGACCCTTGAATATAGTGAAACTCTAAGATTAACATAACGACAGTGGAGGGCCTTTCTTTAAAGACTGTATCATGTTTAAAATGTTGTTTTACTTCCTGAATAAAAAAGGAATAAGATTGTATGGTGGCAGGATTTAATTGTTCACAATTCAAGAAACCACATGACTCCTCTGCATGGAGCATAATAAAGATCTGCTTAGTTACCCTCAACCAAAAATGGGCTATTACTCTAGGACACAGTAGGTGAATGTACACAGTTGCTTGACTTTTTCTTATTTCTAAAGGCCACACCAAACATTTGGATGAAGCAAGATTACTTCATGGGGTAGCTGATAAGGAAGGTAAAATTTTAAGCTCTAGAATACTAACTTGTTTTGTATATGAAGCTTGTATAAACTGGCAGAAGAGCTGTTTTGTTTTACCTGTGTGTAGGTATTACATATGCGTGTATACATATATGAATATATCTCTACACAGTTTAACACGCATGCCATTTGGAAAAGTAGGCACTTTCTATGACACTCACCTGTCAGCAATACTTGCAGATTTGATTTTGTCTATGACAATGACCTGTTTGTTACAGCACATCGAGGTAGTTAGGGCCACCCCAAGGCTGGCACCTGGAGTTTTGGCAACTTCAACTAGTAGTGGTCCGGATGCTGTTGCCACAGAATCTATGGAAGAAAATTTCAGAAAACAAAACAGAATAATTAAGCAAACAGATAAGAAAATAAGAAAATAAGAAAAAAGGCGGAGAAGGTTCAGTCTGGTGTTGATCTGTTAATGTTATTGTCAAAACTTTAGTTTTCCTTCCATTTAACATCTCTACCTCCAGTGAGTGGTCACTCCTTAGGGCATCTTTTAGGATGCCTGTTCTATCCAGCTTGTATTACAGTAATATGTGATGGGTTTACCTCTTCAATTAAAATTTAAGCTTCACATCAGTTGAGATAATGTCTTATGTTTCTTTATGCCTTCTACATTACTTGATATGTGTGTGCATGCTAAATCGCTTGATACAGTGCCTGGCAAATACTGGGTCTCTGAAGAATAGGGTTTAAAAGTTAATTAACTCAATAAACATCTTAGAACCTTCTATGGATGGATGGATAGATGAATGGATGGATGGGTGGGAAGGAAGGGAGAATAGACAGTGTCTCTAAGTAGGCAAGTAGTAGGTAAGAAGTATGCTTCCCAAGCGGCACAGTGGTAAAGTCTACCTGTCAATGCAGGAGACACAAGAGATGCAGATTTGACCCCTGGGTGGGAAGATCTCCTGGAGTAGGAAATGGCAAACTGCTCCAGTATTCTTGTCTGGAAAATTCCATGGACAGAGGAGCTTGGCAGGCTATAGTATATGGGGCTGCAAAGAGTCGGACACAACTGAGCGACTGAGCTCACACACACAAAGGAAGGCATACACCAAGTTAAAGTCGTGAATCCTTCGGGTTTTCCCTATTCTAGATCTGACACAGGGTCATCTCTCCCTCAGGTGCATCTTCACACATGCTTTATTCTTAGCTTGGAACTCTCTTCATTCCTTCAACTGGTACTCACCCTTGCGGGTATAAACTTCAATTCCTCTGGGAAGCCTCTCCTGACTTATGATCTGGTGAGAACCTTTCCTCCTATTTTCCTGCTTTGTTGCACACATCTCATTCTTTCTTAATGACTAGTGTGGATGACACTCCTCTGATCTCTGCCAGACAGCAGCTTGCTGTAAGGACAGAGCCTGTGTCCTGTCCATCACAGCATCCTCGGGGCCTGGCATAGAGACTTGTGCATAAATAGTTGTTGAATGAATGTATGGATAAATGAGACAATGCGTGATGCTATCTAAAGCTCAGAAGAGGAAGAGATCATATGGGAAAGAGCCCTGGATATGGATTTATAACACCTGTACTTCTTCTTTTCACAATATTTTGGTCATGGTAACATAGACCAGTTATGAAAACTAAGTCTGCTTGCTTACCTAGAAAGACTTATCTTTACCTCAGCGTTTATTACAATGGGAATCAATGCGTAGTTAAAGCATTTTACAAAGTGCTACACACATAGAATATTATTATTGCATACTATGACCTCAAGCCTTTGAATCATCTCATTTTTTAAGACTATATTTTCAGTAGTATTTTTATGACTTTCTACTACTCTGGTGTTTGGTACTAATATAACTTTGTCTTCCTTGAAAGTATATCTTCATATCAATAAGCCAGCACTCAGATATGATGAACTAGCAAATGTATTCCTATAGTGAAGCTCAGACAGTATGTGCTGACTCTGGAAGCTGAAAGACCCCTGGGACAGAGTCATCTTCAGTCCCAGATGAAGCAAGATATCTGTTAAATAAGGTAAAGATGAGAACAGGCATGCCAACCACATTCATACTCCAGGCCTAAGGATTCTTGTATGCACTGTGTTTCTTAAATATCTAGTCCTAGAAAAAGTTAAGAGATCATTAGGGCCTGTATTTCTTCCTGTCAATTCCAGGGGAGAGTCTCACTAGCAATAGCTGGGAGGAGCCAAGGGTCTTAGTCCAGTCAGAAGACTGTGACTCTGAGGTGAGCTGGCTGTAATTTTCCCATGAATCTAACTCTGTGGTGGTGGTTACTCTCTGGTTCTGCTCACCCTGCCGTGTTGACAGCCTGACCTCGGGCCACTGACAACATCTGGCTTCTCTTCTTCTCCCTTGTTTCCCAGTTTGTTCCCCCCAGTGCCTCTCTTGGTCCTGCTCCTCAGGCCCTGCCTGACTCTCACCTTGGCGTTTATAGACAGCAGTCCCCAGGCCTATCTGAAACAGTGGTTTGCACTGCTCCTGCCTCACTGGGACCTCCTAGTAAAGAATTCAGCTCGGTCCTTATCGCCCCTGTTTGAGTTATCCTTCCATCATGAGTACAGGCGATTCTTCCTCCTTCTCAGCTCTAATGGTCAAAGTTCTATCGCTAAAACAAATGCACATACTCTGATGCCTGCAGCTCCACCCCAGGTCTGTTGTCCTTCTCTTCTTGGAGTTTGCTCCCTTGCAACGTCTCTTCCTGTTCAGGTTGAACCTCACATGAGCTCTGGCCTAGTGGAGTCTTTTCTCACATTATCTTTACAGAACTTTCAGTTCAGTTCAGTCCAGTCGCTCAGTCGTGTCCGACTCTTTGCGACCCCATGAANATAACATCCTTTAAAGACTGAGTTTGAGGGATTGTCCCTCATCACAGAGTATGAAGGACTTCTTACGGCACAACTTTTAATTTTCTATCAAAACTGTGTCATATTGAGTTCTTAATTTAAGCAGGAAAAAAAATGATGAGGGAAAGAAGGTGCTTATCTTATGTAAAGATGATCATAGATTGTTGATAACAGTTTATGGAATATGAGCTCAGCCCTCTGGTCTCTCTCTTTAGCAGCCCACAGTTTTATTTCACCATGATCACTCTCAAATTCCTGTGGCCAGCACACATTCAGGCTTTCTTTGTGGCTCAGCTGATAAAGAATCTGCCTGCAATGCGGGAGACCTCGGTTTGATCCCTGGGTTGGGAAGATCCCCTGGAAAAGCGAAAGGCTACTCACTCCAGTATTCCGGCCTGGAGAATTCCATGGACTGTATAGTTTTTGGGGTTGCAAAGAGTCAGACACGACTAAACAAGTTTCACTCACTAGCACACATCCTTCACTGATACCTTGAACAATTCCTGAAGGTCTCATAAGCCTATCAGACACAACATAACCAAACTGACTGGCAGGTCCACCCCACTCCACTGGTTCTTCTCCAGGTCTCCTCCTAATGAATGACTCATATTTTACTCCATTATGGAAACCAGAAATTCAGGAGTCGTCCCCAACTCCATCTTCTCCTCACTCTCACAGATCCGTCTTGATTCTAATTCCTAAACAGATCTCAATTTCATTCTTTCTTTCCATCTCCACAATCACCATTTCCATCCAAGTACCATCATCTGATATATCCCAATCCTCCCAAAGCTCCCACCTTTTCCAATCCAGATCCAATTTTTTAAAAGTGCAGATCTCATCATGCTAGCCTATGCTTAAAACCCTTCAATAGCTGTTCTTATAACAGGGTAAAATATATTATCATAGTCTTCAAGGACCTATAGGACCTGGCTCCTGCTTACCTCACCTGTTTTCTTTACCACCATGCTGTCTTTGTTCTCTCTGCTCCAGCTTCCTACTCCTCTTTCAATTCTTCAAAAAAAAAAAATGCATACTTTCCTGCCTCTGGTCCCTTGTATATACTATTCCATCTGGAATTCTTCACCTCCTGGTCCCTGCGTCACCTGCTTCTTTACACTGCTCTGCTCAAATGCCACTTCTGCAGGACGCCTGCCCTGCCCTGCAAACCACGTCAACCTGCCTGCTATATGCTTTAATAGCATTCCTTTGCTTTCCCTTCACTGCACATTTAATAAATGTGATTCAACAATTAGTTGTTCAATTACCTCTGCTCTTTGATGAATAATGTAAGCTCCATGCTGCAGGGGTTGTGTATGCCTTGCTTATGACTGTGACTCTCTACAGTATCTACACAGCATCTAAGTACACAGTAGGTGCTCAATGTGATCTGTTGATGGAAAGAGTGAAAGAAAGAAAGCCTGCTATTTTATTCAAGATGCAATGCTAGCAATAGTCATGATGCAGACATTTAAGTCACATTCTTGTGCTTGAGAGTTCTTAGTGTGGTTGAAATCATGTTAACCCCATGATTAAATCCTTTGAATGGCTGTTCTTGTAACAGTGCCTATGTACACCCAGAAGATGTTGATGAGGAGGGATATTTTTCCTTTGTCTAAATTCTAACCTGAATTCTAACCTGTATTCAATGCCTCATAATATTGGACTGAGAAGTATTTGAATCTATCTGATAGCAAAAGAATCAGAGAACAGCTTACTGGAGGAAAGGTATCCCACCTTCTTCCAGATGGAACTCGAACTTATTGGTCATTTCCCAGCTGTAAGTGGGTAGTATAGCAAACTCTGGGAGTTGGTGATGGATAGGGAAACCTGGAGTGCTGCAGTCCATGGGGTCGCAAAGAGCTGGACATGACTGAGCGACCGAACAGCAAAACAGCAGCTAGAAATGGCCAAGTAAATGAGCTACCCCGAGGATTATGAGCTCTTAGAAGGGACTGGCATCACTCGGGGATGAATGGTTCTGGAGGTTCAAAGGAGGGTATCCTTATTTGTACATATTTCCACTCAACTTCTTTCCACAAAAGTCTGGAGGCTGCTTGCTTTAAACAAACAAAGAAACAAATGTAATATAAAGGAGCAATCAGGAAGAGTAAAAGACCTATGAACACCTTGCCCACAAGGGTTAATAGAGGTGCTTTGACTGAATTACAAAAATGACTTTAAATTACAAGGAAATCCACAGAGATAGAAAGTAGATTGGTAGCTGCCAGGGATGGGGGCAGAGGGGCCTAGAGACTGACTGTTTACATTTTAGAACCAGGCAGAGCTGATGGCAGCATGACACTGTGAATGTACTAAATGCTACTGAATTTTAGACTTTAAAGTGGTTAATTATACCTTATGTGAATTTTGTTACAATTAGAAAATATGACTAAACTTCCTGGAAACCATGGTCAATCCTGCACTGTTGGAAAAGAGGAAGGCTTCTAGTCCCTACAGTGGAAATAAAGATTCTTGTAGCAGGGAGCTCTAAAAGATATCTCTTCCATGGAGTTTTGTAAGGGTCAGTTGCTCAGTCGTTTCCGATTCTTTGAGACCCCATGGACTGTAGCTCGCCAGCCTCCTCTGTAGATGGAATTCTCCAGGCAAGAATACTGAAGTGGGTAGCCATTCCCTTCTCCAGGGGATCCTCCCCACCCAAGGATTGAACCCGGGTCTCCTGCATTGCAGGCAGATTCTTTGCCATGGAGCCACTAGGGAAGCCCAGATATATTAATAGATGGTGCTGATATAATGGGATGATGTCCTCAATGTATTTTCATAATGGCTGTTTCTTGAGGCATAAGATTAAAAAGCAAATCAGTGATGCTGTCTCTATAATGAGACAAGATAATGTGATGGTCAGCTTGATCAAAAGACAGACCCCAGGGCAGACAGATTGACTGTCTCTCTAGGGACCTACCTAAATAGCAATCTTTTCTCTTACTTCAGGTTTCCAGCAAAAGCTGGGTACTAGATAATTCAAATGGTCCTCTATGAGGAGACCCTGGTATGCTAGCTTTCATATATATGACTTAGACCAGATCCAAATGCTCTGGTCATCGGATGAGTCAGAGGAAAGATTCATGTAGTCTCAGGAGGCTGGGGAAACCTAACTAGACTCTTGCCAGGATAGAAGATCACCCACTTCACATTCCCCTCACAACTGGGCTTTCTAAGTCTGCAGGTTACATCATCATTCCTGCAACAACATGAATTTTAAAATACATTTATTGAGTATACTTATATATTCCAGGAACCTCAGAAGGCACTGGGGACTCAAACATGAAAATATATTATCCCTTCCTTCACATAACCCCTTGGGGTCCATGACAATAAGAGAGAGGGGTGGGATAGAACTTTTGGATTCCACTATGGAAATTTATTCTGATGAACCTCATGAAGTTTCTACTTTTTTTAAACTATAGGACACACAATGTTTGCAATCCTCCCAAACCCTATGAAAACTTTAATACATTAAGAGTCAAAGTGCTTATAAAATACTGGGTTATCTATAGGATATGACTTCCAGCTTTCTAGGAAGATTTACTCAAGTATGTCAAAAAGTATATCAGGTATGCCACCACCCACAGAAGGTGATTGAAGCTCCCTGTCCATAGGACTGTCCAGAAAAAGGCAATTATTATCAAGTATCTATGGTACAGGGCTTTCCAGGTGGCTCAGATAGTAAAAAATCTGCCTGCAATGTGGGAGACCTGGGTTCAATCCCTGTGTCGGGAAGATCCCCTGGAGAAGAAATTGGCAAGCCACTCCAGTGTTCTTGCCTGGAGAATCCCATGGACAGAAGAACCTGGCGGGCAAGAGTCCATGGGGTCGAAAAGAGTTGGACATGACTGAATCACACACGCACACACACACACATTTACGGTACAAGTCAAGGGCATGGCAATGATATGAGACCTACGGCGGTCTGAGGAGACAGCATGGTGAGCTGGAACGCTCGAGATGAGCTTCTTAGTTGAGAAGCTGAATGCTTCTCAGCTGCCTTTATCTTAATGGGCTCTAGGAAAACAAAACTATTTTAAGTGAGTACCGCTTTCCAGAATTACCCATGTGGCAGTTACTCTCCGCATCACAGAAGAGGATCTACAAATGCTCACGTTTAATTGATCATTAGCCTTTTCTAGCAATTGCTTTCCATAATACATGTTTCCACACAGCAACATCAACAAGCTCATACTACCTTGTGTATTAAGCCTAGTTCCCTAGCTGCCATCCAGTTCTATCCACAGAGGGTCTGACGAAAAGCTGGAGTCCAAAAGCCCTGGCTTTATTCCAAGATGTCTAATAAGATGCATAGGAAGAATAAAAG